TTTCTACCCCGCAGTGGAGAAAGCTACCAAACAAGCATCGCTTATTATTGACTTTCCATTGCTACTGGCCTGTGTTAAAACCAGTGACATAGAAAAGAAAGGTTCCATTTCCCATTACCAGATATCCAATCCCCCTAGAAAACATCTGTTGAATCTGGGATGATGCCATGGTATTAGCTCTTCAGTTGCATGCTGTGTCATTGGCTGTTCTCAGCACTGCCCTGTCTATCACAACGCATAATCTCTTTTCAGAGACATTTCAACCACATCGTTAGGGTCTCCAGTCCCATGTCTTTGAAAATCAGTGGTAGTTTTTAGCCTTTGGCACACAACTTGAAGTTTAGAAATTTGACTCTGTGCAGGGTGTAAGACAGGGAACAAAAGTTTCCCGATGATTTCATGTGACAAAAGTTGTGCAAAGAAAAGAAGTGGGTCTGCAGAAATTCAGCAAGTTTCCGTGTTTATGAGCCCAAGAATCTCGCACTGGAGTGCCTCAGACACATAACTAAGTGCTTCTCAAAATGTTCACTACTGAAGACAGTATAAGAGAACTGTCTTTAGAATTCAAGTAATATACTACCAAGCAGAGGGAGAATAATACAGAAATACTTTCTTGATGATGTGTGCTAAAGCAGCAGGCATTTAAGACCAACAGATGTCAATCTCTGAGGTTTTTGTTAAGAGTTGCAATTTATGACGTGTTAGGGTAAACAGTTGGATTATATTTCTGAAATGCATGTTCCATCAGGTAAAATCATTGTGATTATAGGCCCTAGTACTTTCAGTAAGTTATGCACTAAAAGGCTGAAATTGTAAAACAAGTATGCTTATGCTTTACTGTTAATCCCTCTTTGTATCTACGCTGAGTAAACTACAAGGGAAACTGCATTAAACAATAAAGGCAAAAATGGCATGTTATGTCATCTTGATAAACAATGACTGTTATACTGTTTTCCTTCAAGAAGCAACTGTGACTGGCCTCTGTATTCTCCCTCAATGGAGAATGTGCCTGACTGTAAAAAAACCCAGAGGATTATTTAGAAGTTACTTTGTTCATGCCTCTCAGTGAAAGCAGTACTTTCTCTGCATCTTCTTACTTTGCTGCTTTTCCTTCATTTCCTCTGCTCTTATCTATTAGAGAAAGTTGAACTTGTTATTTCAAAAACAACCTACTTTCATGAAGACTATGAGTTTTGAACAAAGTGAAATAAAACTTCTTTTAAGTGGTTTTGGAAAAGTTTGACAGCAGAAGATAATAAATGAAAATAAATCTACAATTTTTCTCCTAATGCAATTTGTGGCATGTCAATGTCAAAGCATTCTAACAACAAATCAACAAATATTTGAATGAAAACAATATACATAGCTTATTTTCCTATATTGGAAACAACTGTCAAACAAACATTGTATGACTTCATGAATTAGTTGGCTTTTTTGAAATATTCCTGCTAGGAAAAAAAAAAAAAAAAGAAGTCTATATGGGCCTTTGAGCCTAAACATATTGCGTCAATCATAAGCATATGCAATGTATCTAAGGCATGAGGTAAAAATTTTCTTTGTAAATTATTTCATAAATAAATAATTTGCCTGAAAAACATCTATAAAAATATATTTTGCCTTTCTTAAGTTCTCTACAGTTCTTTGTGGTGAATATAAACAGATTCATATTGACATCTTCTTGATCTGCTTTATTTTAACTTGAAATGCAGAATGTATCATGAAAGCATTTCTAATAAAGATACAGTAACAAACTTTTTCTGAGAGATAGAGTATTTCATTAGAGTAGTCTGAAACTATGAAGACATGTTGTGTCCTTCTCATCTTTGCTTATGAATAGCTTTGCAGTTTCATTTTAAAAGTGCATGCACAGAGATACTCATGTCCTTTGAAAACACACCTCTATAATACTGCTCTACAGGTGAAAAAAGGCGTGTTTGTTATCAAGCTTTACACATGTTGAAATCTGTGTTTTTGCTGTTATCAATCTTCACAGTTTGTCTGTCATAATGTGAATAAAATCTGGGAAAGCTACAGCCACACATAAGAACTGGCTGAGATTTAAGGTGTGGGGGGCATAATTTCCTGGTTTAAAATAAAAAGACATTAATAAGCCTCACTAGAGCAGAGAAGTAAAGGGAAATAACTCTTGTTTAAATATTTTCCACTCAAGCCCTGCTTGTAAGATGTTTAGCCAAATCATCAGACAAAATACCTGCCTATTTTAACCCTTCCTATGCAAGATATATGCCAAGCAAACAGGCACTTGAGGCTGACATGCTCAGTGAAAACAATACAATCAAAATTTTTGAGAAAAACACGTTTGAACTGATGTGACAAAATTACTTGCTTTTCAGAGTTCTGTATTCACTAAAGTTTGTGCAAGCGGCTCGTCTCTTTGACTGTGGTTCAGCCATGGCATTTGCAGCTTGTGAAAGATTAAATTTATGAAGTCAGGAAAGGTTGTCTGTGCATATATGAGCGAGGCGCTACCAAGCATGAGGTACTGAAGTATCGAGGCAGACTGTTACAAACTTTAAATTTTGGTATTACTTTCCTTGGCATTCCATACTTGTCTCTGCTGCTCCGAGCTCATTTTCTGTGGATGGGTATAGAGGGAGTACCACACGTAATCAGCGAGTTCCCCTTTCCCTGTGTCGGTGATCCTACTATGTATGCCTAATTGTGCAACCTTCCATTTTCAACATGACAAGTTCACCTCTTGTATGTGAATTACTGCTTTTCTATTCATGAAGTGCTTTATCAGACAATTCTACAAAAGAACTTAAGGGGGAAATGCGTTCCTGGGTGATTTACACAAGCAATTACTTTACAAATCTGCCAGTGGATTATATTAAACATGTATGAAGAATATTTAAGTATGGAGCGAGGGCTGAGAACGCTCTAAGTTTTACAACAGGATTTCATTTGTGTCACCATGTATTTCTGAAGATTTTATACTTTACACTTCACCATGTATTTCAGAATAAAACTGTAAGGAAAAAGTTATGTAATTTCAAATATTTGGAGGGAAGTAGCTTCAACTCTCGAACTGTAATAATTTAACTCTTTTCCATCTTCTTCCTTGAAGCTTCCTTGCACTCTGCAAGCAAGCAGAGTGCACCTATTTGAATGTGATATCAGTTTAAAACAACTTGCATGGGAGGAAAAGCATGCCATATAAAGTCACCTAACTGCAGAAAAATTGTGTCCAAATGCCCAACAAATGTTTACATCGTTTTTAACGCCTACTATATTTGGGATTTTAAAACCCTTTCATAGGAACCTTTTATGTACTGCTTCTCCTTGGAGTGAGTTTTTACATTGACATGCAGACTTCTGGCAGTTTGTAGCATGGGGGATATAGGAGTGTTTCGAATTGAAAAAGTTCTGCACAAGGAGGAAAAGTTGTGAGGGTTTCCTGGGATCTGCTCGGGGCTGACCTGCGGCCGGTATCAAAGCCCGGGCGGTAACGGGACTGTTCATCGCTCAGCCTGGGAACTGTCTGCCCACCCGCCTCAGCCCGCACACAAACGGGGGCGCGGGGCAGAGAGGATGATACCAAATCTGCGGGAGACGCCGAGCAGGGCTGGGGTCTCCCGAGGGCGGCAGCTACTGGCGCGCGTGGGTCGCGCCTTTTATCCCCACCGCCACCTCTCGCAGTCCCGCAGGGCAGCCGCGGGTCCCGGTGACAGCCGCGGGCACAGCCGCCTCCCGCGGGCCGCGCTGGGGGCGCGCCTGTGGCCTGCGGCGATCCGTGCCGCAGCCCAGCGCAGGTCCCCGCGGCCGCGGGCCGACGCGCCCCCTCCGCCCGCCCGGCTCGGCGGGCCCGGCCCGCGCCGCCCGTGGCCGTGGCCCGGCGGCGGGCGGAGGCGGCGGCGGGGGGCGGCGCGGGCCGCGCGGCGGGGCCGCCTGCACTGTCTCTTTAAGGGCGCTCCGTCTGGGGTGGCGCTTTCCTCCGCGAAGGCTCCTTTGATATTAATAGTGTTGGTGTCTTGAAACTGACGTAATGCGGGGAGACGGAGGTCCTGACAAGCGATAACAGTCCCGATAACGCGCCGGCCGCCCCGCGCTCCCAGGCCGCCGCCTCGCTGCCGGCGGGGCCGCCGCGCCGTGCCCCGGCCCGCGCCCCCCGGCCCGCCGCGCCCCCGCCCCCGCGCCGCACCGCACCGCCCGCCGGCGGGCCCGTCGCCCCCTCCCCGCCGAGCGGGGCCGAGGGGGGAGGCAGCGGCGCCGCGGCCCCCCGCCCCCCCCACTCCCCGGCCACCGCCACATAATCCGCGTCCAACTCCGCCGGCAGCAGGAGACGGTTCATGGCTCGCGCCGCGGCTCCACCATCTTCCAGGCTGCCGGGGCTGTTGCTGCCGGTTAATCAACAGGTAAGCGC